GGTCGTCGGGCGCCTCGCCCTCGGCCTCGGAGATCTGCGCGGCGATCTGCATCTCGAAGATGGTGTCCTCGCAGAAGCTCACGAAGAGCTCCATCTTCTCCGACTCGCCGCCCTCGTTCACCACGTCGAAGATGAACTGCCGCTTGGACTCCTTCACCTGCGGGCGGGCACGGGCACGGACAGGCGCTGGGGGCCGCGGCGACCCCCCTGGGTCACCTCGTGCGCACCCTCCGTGGGCACCCCAAGTCCACTGGTTCCATCCGCACAACGCCCCCGCCCCCGGGCGCTGAGCTAAGCCCATTTTGCAGAGGAGGAAATGGAGAAGGCGGGAGTGTCAGCGCGGAGAAGCAGCAGAGGGAGGATTAGAACTCCGAACTCCATCGTTTCCGATTCCATTCTGCCTGTTCGCCCTTCTGTGGGCCTGAGCTCTCCCTCCTATCCCTTTAAGCAGAGGACTAGGACGTGCGTTACAGCTCTGTGAGGATCCGTGGAGGCCCTCGGTGCTGAATTCGCTGTTTGAACAAACCCACTGCCATCGAGTGGATTCTGACTCAGCCACCCTCCAGGGCAGGGGGATCTGAGACCGTCAGTCTGGAAGGGAGCAGACGGTCTCGTCTGCTTTCCTCCCAGGGGCTGCTGGGGTTAAACCGTCGACCCCGAGGGTTAGCAGCCCAACACAGCGCACAGCGTCATCACGGCTCCCCAACAGCAACAAACGCCCGATGCCACTCTTCCAGGGCTGCGTGGCTGCTGTTGGGCATTCCGGGGCGGGGCCGGGCCGGAGGAGTGAACAGGAGGAAGTGGGGTATGCGGGAGAGGAGTGGAGTGGTCCCAGGAGCCCCAGTGGTGGCTCGTGAGAGTGGCTGAAAGGTGGGGCTTCTGGGGCTCAGTGCACTGGAGGACTTTCATACTAGGCAGGAATGTTGCTGGCCTGGGCCCCCAAAGATGTTCACGTGTAAGGTGGGCCTGCAAGTTGTGTAGTTAATGTGTGTGAGTAGGGCCTGAGTGTTCAAGGGGGGTTCAGATGACAGTAAGAGGCTTGGACTCCATGGGACACAGCCCAGGTGTGTATGAGCCAGTGTCACCAAGGAGGAGTGGTGGCTTCGTTGTGGAGCAGGTGTGCAAGCCCTCGGGCCACATGTAGGTGCCTGGGGGCACCTGAGGACGTGGGAGGGCTTGGTGTGCAAGGCCTGAGTAAGCGCCAGAGTAGAGCTGCAGGCGGAGGACATGCTAGGGTTGTGTGGGAAGCAGGGTCCTGCACATGAAATAAGTGTGTGCAGGGAACAGGGGCCATGGGTGTGCACGCCCATTCAAAGGGGGGGCAAAGGGTGTGAGAGCATTTGGGGCAGCGCTTGTGAGCGAGTTGAGACAGCATGCTGGGACGAGGACACGAGGACATGTGGGGGCCGTATGGATGGGTGTGAGAGTGGTCCCAGTGTGCGGGGGTGGGGAGGGGGTGGGGGGTGGTGGTCAAGGGGTACTGAAGCCCCAGGCCAGGGCACGGGGTGGGGGGGGCGGTGACAGAGTGACTGAGGAAGGGACACTCAACTGCAGGAGGGCACTGGTGACCTCATGGGGGAAGTGTGAGTGTGTGAGTGAGGTGAGCACCCACCTGTGGGACGAGTAAGTGGGGTGGGCGTGACCTGCTAGGACCTCAGTGGGCATCTGAGGGCTGACTGGCAAGGAGCCCTGGTGGCATAGTGGTTCCATGCTGGACCGCTAACTGCAAGGTCAGCAGTTTGAAACCAGCAGCAGGAGAAAACGATGGGGCTTTCTACTCCCGTAAAGAAGGACAGTCTTGGGAACCCACAGGGGGCAGTTCTACCCTGTCCTACAGGGTCGCTATGAGTTGGCATGAACTCAGTGGCAGTGAGTCTGGTGTGGTTTTTGGAATATCTGGTAGAAGGCATGACAGTGTGCACAGGGATAGGCATGGTGGGGCAGGGCACCAGAGAGGGCAAACAGAGATGGTTCAGAGGTGTGCATCAGGGTCACAGGGGCACATCAGAGCTCAAGGTGAGGGTGCAAGGGGTGGACAGGCTGCACGAGTAGTCACAGGGGAGCACACGTGTGTGTGTGTGTGTGGGGGGTTGCTGTCACACACACAGGAGGTGCAGGGGGCATGCAAGGGCAGACAAAGTCCACGTGTATTTTTGCACAGGCATGAGCATGGGCATACAGCCAGCCCCCTCCCTCCGAGACCTGCGGAACAGATGTGCCAGGTGGGCCTGGCCCTCCAGGCGTGCAAAGCTTGGGCCCCGGCGAAAGCCTGCGTGTGAGCATGCGCACGGCGGCTGACCTGGGGCATCTCCCACTGGGCGCGGTTGGTCTCTGAGATCTCGAAGTAGATGCGCTCGATGCGGCGCGAGGCGCCCATGATCTCGATGCGGCCCAAGTAGGGCCGGAAGTACTCCAGGATGCTCTCAGCCAGCTCTAGGAAGTTGCGCAGGCGCTGGTCGTGCGGCACGTGCTCGGACAGGTTGGTCAGCAGCACGGCCACATTGAAGCCGATGTCGCGGGCCGGCTCCTCTAAGCGGTTGGCGAACTCCTCACAGTTGATCATCTCGTTCTCGTCCGCTTCGGAGCAAGAAAGCAGGAACTGGATCTCGGGCCCGGAGAATTGCTTCTGGCTGTCCATGGCCTGGAGAGGGTAGATCAGCAGGGCAGCAGGGGTGTCAATGCTGACCTTAGCGGGGGTGGGGGAGGTTCTGGACTTACCACAGGGCCAGGAGAGGCCAGAATCCTAGCCCCAGCGCCATGGCTGACACCAGCCCTTTAGCATGAGGCAAGGCAGCTGTGGGCTGGGCTGTGCTGGTTCCAAAGAGAACGCAAAGCCTGCTTTGCAACAGAATGGAGGCACCATCCACAGTAAGATGCATTCCAGTCCCGAGAGGGTACACATCCCAAAGGGTGCCTCTCAGAAGGGACGGCGGCTCGAACTCTTGTCATCATCGGCACGCTAGCCAAACATTACCGGAGAGGCCTCCCAGACCACTGTCCATAGACCCCCTCTCCCGGCCCACACTCCTTTGTGTAGCTGTAAGGAGTCCTACTGGCGCAGGGGGTTAAATGTCGGGATGCTAACTGAAAGGTCACGGGCGGTTGGAACCCACCAGCCATGGAAAAAAGAGGTAGCAGTCGGCTTCCATGGAGAGGACTAGAGAGTTCAACAATATGTGTGGGAATGGGTGGTTTGAGTTGATGTACCCCTGGCCAACTCCAGGGGGCTCTGCTTCTTGTGGGGGGGGGTCCAACCACTTAAGATCAGGGAGAAGGGAGGGGCAGAGGTGTATTTGTCTCCCTAGCTTCTCCCTGAGCCTTATCTCCAAGGTCCACACACCTCCACCACACACCTCCTTGTACCTCAAGGTTAACTCCAAAAAAACACGCCCTCCCCACACAAAAAAGCTTACTACCATCAAATCGATTCTGACTCACAAGGCCCCTCTAAGGAAGGGCAGGGTAGAACTGCCCATTTGGGTTTCAAAGGCTGTAAATATTTACAGGGGCAGAAAGGCTCATCTTTCTCCCAAGGAGTGACTGGTGGGCTTGAACCACCAACCCTGTCTTTAGCAGCCCAATGCCTAATCCACTGGACCAATTGGGCTTCCCACCTCTGAGTCAGGGAACTGCTTTTCCTTCCTTCTAAGTGGAAACAGCTCCAGGCCATTGTTAAATCCAGGTCTGGCCAACTCTCTGGTTCCTGTCCCCCTCCCTCCGCCCACTGCCCCACCAGAGTTTTGTAAACAGCAAGCAAACCCAGACTAGTTGCCAGGCTTGGATTTCCCGTGGGCTTGAGTAGAACTGCTGACCTCGCGGAAGCACATTTCCTGGCTTTTCTCACAAGCAACTCTGGGTGGATCGCAACCGCCAATGCTTATACTTCAATTCTTCCCCCAAGACCCCTTTTATCTACCCCTACCACCATCTACAGCAACAAAATAACTGACATCTAGCACAGTGGGGAAAGAGGGGTGGGGGGAGAGGGTCTGTTGCCCAAGACCTCTTGAAAGCGTTGCAAAGCACGGATGTTTCTTTGAGGACTCAGGCGTGCCTGTCCCAAGCCATGGTCTTTTCAATCTCCTCTTAGGCCGGTGAAGGTTGGACCCTGAATGCGGAAGGCCAAGAACCAATGCACTTGAATGAGGGTGCTGGCGAAGAAGACAGAAAGTACCATGGACTGCCGAAGGAACAAACAAGCCTGTCTTGGAAGGACAGCCAGAAGGCTCCTTAGAGGCAAGGGCAGGGAGACTTCCTCTCCATCCCTTGGACAGGTTGTCAGGAGAGAACCGTCCCTGGAAAAGGGTGTCATGCTTAGTAGAGGGGCAGCGAAAAAGAGGAAGACCCTCGCCAAGGTGGATCGACGGGATGGCTGCAATGATGGGCTCAAACGTCAGAACAGTTGTGCGGCGGAAGCAGGGCCAGGCAGTGCTTCATTCAGTTGTACATCAGGCCGCTAGGAGTCGGAACCGACTAGAGGGCACCTTACAAAAGCAACAGCAGCACAGTGGAGGCCTCTGGCGATCAACCGGAAATAAACAGCCACGTTCCTAGCACCCAGAAGGAGTACATGTTCCTGTGCTTTTTAAACATTTTATTTTCCAACTTAGGTAATTGCTCTGATCATCTGAGACTTACCCTGACCCCTCAACTGGGTGTTTCCCAGCTGTGTCCATGTGTATGTGACCATACGGAGCAAACAGCTGTTTTCACTGCAGTGTCATATTCCCTTTCAGTCACTGACATCACTCTTTGCTTACTCGATGGTGGGCATTTAGGGTGGATTCCACATTTTCGTTTTATAGACAACATTTTCATTGGAGCACTGGTGGCATAGTAGGTTATGAGCTGGGCTACTAACCACAAAGGCAGTAGTTTGAAACCACCAGCTGCTCTTTGGGAGAAAGATGAGGCTTTGTACTTCCACGATGACTTACAGTCTCGGGAACCCCCAGGGGCAGATGTGCCCAGTTCGATCGGGTGGGGAGGAGTCAGCATCCACATGGTGGCAGTGACTGAGCTCAGTGAACTTCCTTGTGCTCATTCCTATGCATCTGTGGTTTTGTTTTGCTCCAACAAAAACATTGATCCATTCACAGTTTTAGGAAGCTAGACAGATATTCAAATCCAATGTGCCATCTCTTAGGGTTCCAGTCTCTCCTGTTCACTCTTGCAAGTGGCGCTCCCGGGCTTGTTTTCCCAACAGGGCCTGTTACACTGGGAAGCAACAAAGCCCCCAGGGAAGAAGCACACCAGCCTGTGTGACCACGAGGTGTCGGAGGGATCAGGTATCAGGCACCAAAGAACAAAAAAAATCATATCATTGTGTGCTTACCTCCCTGATACGATGGATCGCTGAAGACAAATTGTTGCATAAGCAAATGAGGTGAAGAAAGCTGATGGTGCCTGGCTATCATAAGATATAGCATCTGGGGTCTTAAAGGCTTGAAGGTAAACAAGCAGCCATCTAGTTCAGAAGCAACAAAGCCCACATGGAAGAAGCCCACCAGCCTGTGTGATCACGAGGTGTAGAAGGTATCAGGTATCAGGCATCAAAGAATAAAAAATCATATCATTGTGAATGAGGGGGAGTGCGGAGTGGGAACCCAAAGTCCATCTGTAGGCAACTGGATACCCCCTTACAGAAGGGTCGCAGAGAGGAGACTAGGCAGTCAGGGTGCAGTGTAGCAAGGATGAAACATACAACTTTCCTCTAGTTCCTAAATGCTTCCCTCACCCACTACCTCCGCCCACTATCATGATCCCAATTCCACCTTACAAATCTGGCTAGACCAGAGGATGTACACTGGTACAGATAGGAACTGGAAACACAGGGAATCCAGGGCAGATGATCCCTTCAGGACTAGTGCTGAGAGTGGAGATACCAAGAGGGAGGTAGTGGAAAGGGGGAAGTGATTACAGGGATCTCCAAAAAACCTCCCTCCCCCGCTGGTACTGGACAGCAGAAAAGTGGGTGAAGGGAAACGTCGGACAGTGTAAGATATGACAAAATAATTTATAAATTATCAAGGGTTCATGAAGGAGTGGGGAGCAGGGAGGGGGGTGGAATGAGCTGATGCCAAGGGCTTACATGGAGAGCAAATGTTTTGAGAATGATGAGGGCAACGAATGTACAAATGTGCTTTATACAATTGATGGATGTATGGATTGTGATAAGAGTTGTACGAGCCCCCAGTAAAATGATTAAAAAAAAAAAAAGATTGCCTGTTACAAGTCGACTCAGAAAACACACACCCCAACCACAACCCCTGACGCTCTCCTGATGCACTAGGCAACACGCCTGCGGAGTTCTGTTTTTAAGGATGCTGGTATGAAGTGAGAATTTCCTGATGGCCCAGGCAGGTGGTGACAGGCAGTTTGAAAACTTGTTGCTTTGGGGTGTGAACACCAGCTCGATTATCTGGCTCGAAATAAGTGCTTTGTAAAAAGCCAAGAGCTTTGCAAAATGCTTTCTAAATGAGTAACGTGCCCTGAAACCACAGAGCCTGGGTGCTCCGCCACACAGGAACTGAGCAACCTCTACCCGCGTGCCGCCTCCCCGCCGGCTAACACACTGGGACCCTGTCTCTCTCCACAGCCTACCCAGCAAGGGCCGCGACCCTCTGGCCCCCATCCACGCCTGACTTCTGATCTGGGGATCTGCTGCTGTCTCGTTGATGTCACCCATCTGCTCAACCTCTTCTGTGGCTCTGCCTTCTTCTCTGCTTATGAGGCTGTCATTTCGGGGGACCCTCCTCCCCTTCCAGATCGCTACAGCTTGAGGCCCCCTAGGGCTCGCTTCCCCACCACCTCCTTGAGAAATGCTCATGGGGGGGATCTTTGTCAAGGTCGGAGGCTCTGAAGGCCACCCAACGCCCAAGGTCGCCAACCCCACACCCTCAGTCCCAGCTGCTCCCCAGAATCCATCTCACTCTCTCTGAGATCACCTGCCATCTCTGAGATCGCCTCTGCGCCCGCAGGACCTCTTGATTTCAACTTCCAAGTCTCCCTCCCCCAGACTCCCCTCTCTCGGGAACAGTATCACCACCCACTTCGGGGCTTAACTGAATGTTCTGAGTCATTCCTGATTCGCCTCTTTTAGCTCACTGCCCACACTCGGTGCATCAGCAAACCAGAGGACGCTGCTTTTAAAAGAGATCCATCCTCCTCCTGGGCCCCCACTCTGGTCGGAGGCCTCCCAGCCTCTGCCTCTGGACCAGCCCCACCCACTCTCAGTTCTCCCTGCTCCTCCCACAGTGGCCAGAGGACCCTGCTGTGGACAGAGGACCTGGCAGGTCTCTGTTAGGCTCCATCCTCAGAACCATACCCAAACTACAGCCATATAGAGAGCGGAATTGTTCCCCAGGGTTTCGAAGGCGCCCCATCTGTACTGAAGCAGGCAGCCTCATCGTTATCCCAGGGAGTGCCTAGGGGGTTTGAACCGCTGATCTTCAGGTTAGCAGCCCTGTGCTTAACCCACCATGCTGCCAGGGCTGTGGCTCCATCACATTCAGGTTAAAAGTCAAAGCCTCCAGCCTGTGGCCGTCTGCTCCCCACTGACCTCAGACTTCCTCAGCCCACCACCCATGCTCTACCCCCGCCACCTTTTCTACCCATCCTGGTGTCCCCTTCACACCTTTGTCCCCTCCTTACTCTGCCGGGGACACTCCCACTTGCAGGGATTGTATTGTGTGACACCCTGGTGGTGGTGCGGATTACGGAGTTGGTCTGTGACCCCAAAAGTCAGCAGTTCAAAACAGCCGGTCACTCCGAGAGGAAGACGTTCTACCTCTGTAACGCGTGAGCATCTCAAACTCACAGGGGTCGTTCTACCCTGTCCTATAGGGCCCCTGTGAGTTGGCATAGGCTCAATGGAAGTGGGTTTGGGTCCCTCCAATCCCCCTCACCCCAACGGGTTGTCAATTTTATCCCGCTATCTATCCACACCATGGGACACACCTGCGTAGCTCAACCTTGTTCACTAGGGCTGCTGGGAGGCGGAATCCATGCCATGACACCAGTTGGTGTTTTTAGCTTGTACCCATGGTTATAATGCCAGGGGCAGATGGGCTTTCTTTGTTGTGCTAAGAGGCCATATCCCTGTAAGGGGCATTTTAAGCCAATCGCCTTTGAGAGGTAACAAGGGCCAATTAGGCTGCGTGAGCAACTGAAAATGGAGCCACAGGGGTGAGTTCATGGACACACCTGGAGGAGGACGAAGGTCTTGGTGGCCGGGACCCCTTAGTTCAATTTGTCAGCCAAACAACAGACAGGTCTGTAACAAACCAAGCTCGGCCATCGGGTCGTGCCCACTCAGAGTGAGCCTGCAGGGCAGGATAGGACTGCCCCTGTGAGTTTCCGACACTGTCACTCTTTATGGGAGTAGAAAGCCTCGTCTTTCTCCTGAAGAGCAGCTGGTAGTTTTGAACTGAGGACTTTGAAGTTAGCAGTCCAATATTCATAACCACTAAGTCGCCGGAGCTCCTCCTCCAGAGCATCTGGAAGTCAGATCCTTGCTGCCAGACTGCTGTCTCATTCCACCACAGGGGTGGGCCTGCTCCCTGCTGCTGGGGACAATGGACAGGCTCCTGTGGACGGAGTTTGCATGCTACTGATAATGGTCTCTATCAGTTGGGCCAGTGACAGGCCAAACTGGGCTGTCCCTCTTCTTATTGCATGTATGCCCCTAGACCACCCCCTCATTACTGTGTAACCTATGGTGCAGCCCCTTCCCGAGATGTATGTCTCTACCGTAATTAGTGGGCTGGCTTGCCCCCAAAAGGTATATAGGTGTGAGTCAGCAATATAGCTCTCTCTGACTCAGCTCCTTGCTGCTCACTCCCTGGTTACTCCCCTCTCCCTTGTTCCCTTGTCCTCCTTCCCTTCCCCCTCTCTCCACGTGGACCACCAAGCTGGGCTGAGGTGAGCATGCTACCATGAAATGTGTCTGACTCCATTTATTTCTACATATCTCTTTTATCTCTCATCCTCTCTATAACTTTACTATAATATTTACTTATTATCGCTGTACAATTGCGCCTACCGAACCCGTAGTGATTGTGCTAGGAGCTGGCTTCTTCAGGCAGATCTATGAGGGGAATGATAACACACACTCTAGAACCATCAACCAATTGAGACCCCAAGGCCAGCGCTGACCCAAGGATGCAGTTCATAAGGGGAGGGAGAGAGAGGCATGGGGCACAGGGGAGCCCAGCGAAGAAGTGGAGTAAGTGGGGTGGCAGGGTGGTGGTGGCAATCAATGGCACGAAACAAACTGCATGAATTACTGCCTGGAAAACAGCTGCTGTGCCATGGGGCACCCAGATCACAAGAGGAAGTTTCAAACCCGACCCAACCCTGAACATGCCCCTTCAACCGTGAAGGTATGGCAAAGCATGCCGGACCATCCACAGTGTCGTGGAGAGTTTGGGAAAACATGGGATGCATTGTGAACGGCATTTAGAGACGAGAACGTGGCCGTCCTGCCGGCTCTGTCTCTTTTCCTTGGAAAGAAGGAGTCCGAGAGAAGAGTAAATGACGGAGTGGGTGAGGAGTAAGGTTTTGGGGGTAAGTTGGCTAGAAAGTGGATGGGCGAAAATGGGACAGATACAATCTCGAGCAGTGTAACCACACTGCTAACTGACAGGACTGGCAGAAAGGGCATGGGCATCCAGGCTTGGAAGGTAAGGAGAGACCCAGAGAAAGAGGGGGGGCGAGGAAGAGGAGTTTGGAGGCCGGGAAGAATGAATCATGGTTGTTAAGAAAAGGGGAGAGGATCTGAAGATGGATTTTATGGGCTGCTTAGAGATGGACCCCAAAGGAGTACACCCTTCTGGAAGCACTGTGATGCCTGGTCCATACGTGGCACAGAGAGGACCTCCCTGCTCCCCAAAGCCATTTCATATGTTGTCCTTAGAGAGAGGATGTATCAGATATTAAACTGATCAGAACAGATACTACACTTGATCTCAGGCAAAAGGCCGGGAAGCCAGCGCACGATGCGCCTGGGTGTCAAAGAGCAACAGCTATTGGTGACTCAGGGGCTGCGAACCACAAGATCAGCAGTTCTAAACCACCAGCCACTCCAGAGGAGAAAGATGGGGCTTTCTACACTCGGAAAGAGTCGCAGAAGCCCACGGGGGCAGTTCTACCTCGTGCAGAGGCTCACTAAGAGTCAGAATGGAAGGGACTCACTGGCAGTGAGTTTGCATTGTTTCGTTTGTTGGTGTTGGCTGGTTTTATTCTTCTGTATTGGCTGGTCTCACAAAAGCAAAGACGACAGGCCAATGGGTGTCTGCTGGTGGGTGTGTCTAACAGCCCATGGAAGACTGGACAAAACCAGCTCCAGACCTGAATCTGATCGAGCCTCTCAGCCTAAGTCCAAGTGTACAAGGAAACTCGGGACCCGAGGACACGCTAAATGACACCAAACACATCAGGGGCCAGATCCAGCCCGTGGGAAACTCTCTCATTTGAATGGCACCGCCAGTGGTTTGAAACCACCAGCCGCCCTGAGGGAGAAAGATGAGGCTTTTTACTCCTATAAAGAGTCCTGGAAATCCCTAGGAATTCCATCCTGACCTTAAGAGGGTCACTATGAGTTGGAATGGACAAGATGGCTATGAATTTGGGGGGTTTTTTTGTTTCTTGTTTAGTTTGTCCAGGATGCCAGTCACCCTTGAAACGTGGCTGGTACCGACTGAGATGCGCTGGAAGCGTAAAGTGCACACGGGCTGTTGGAACGCTCCTCCACGAGAAAATCTAAAATATGGAATTATTTTTATATTGATCACATGTCCGATCTTATTTTGGAGGTAACCAATACCGGGTGTCTTCTACACTGGGTCTTGGCCACAGGGTCGAGAGGCATACCAGCTGCCTGCTGGTTGATTTCAACTCCTGGCCACCCCGTGTGTGTCCCAGGAGAACTGGGCTCTGTTTTCCACAGCAGGTTATTTGTTTTGTTTTGGGGAAGTAGATCAGCAGACCTTTCTTCCAAGGTACCTCTGGGTAGGCTCGAACCCCCAACCTTGCAGTGAGCAGCTGAGAGGGTGAACCCAGGGGCTCCGCGGGTCTGCTGGCTTCAATACTTGTATTGTTGAAAGTGATTTCACTTGTTTCTTTAAAGAGGTGGCTACTAACATGTTAAAATTAGACCCGTGGGTGGCAGCACACTGGATTGAATGCCCCTCCTTGCGCTCCACAGGGCCAACAAACTGGGGTTTCCGTTGATCAATTTCAAGGAAAAGAAAGAGGACTGAAGGGGAAGCAACAGATGAATGGAGATTTAAGAAAACCGTCCACAACAGACTCAAGATGACCAATCCCCGAGAGCCAGCCCCAAAGAAGCAGACGCTCAAAAAGGTGGATTGTCAAGTGGCTGCAACTACGGGCTCAAACGGAACAATTGGGGGGCTGGTGCAGGGCCAGGTTGTGGCTACTTCTATTGCATCTAAGGTCGGCATGGTGATGGGCTGCGATCCCATCCGCAGTCTGCAGTTCAAAAGCACCAGCCGCTCTGCAGGACAAGGATGGGGCTTTCTGCTCCTGTAAAGACTTATCACCATGGAAACCCATCAGGGCAGTTCTCCCTGGCTCTATGGAGATGCTGAGAGTCGAAACGGCAGCAGGCGAGGATTCATAACAAGAAACGACACTATGAGACATGATGCCCCTCACTGACCCATGGCCCTGCGGGGGACAACACCAGAGACACAGTGTGGGAATTGCACCCGATCTGATCCTGCCACACTGAGGCAAAGCACTGGGGGAGTGCAGCAGAACAGCAGGGGAGGGGAGTAGCAAGATCCCCAGGGAATGAGGAGGGTGGACTTTGGTGACATAATAAGAAATGACAACGGTGAGCGGTCCCAGTGCTGCTAGTTCACATTGGTGTTCATGCACTTAGTCCCTCAAGCTACCCAAGGGCTGGTGGGTCACTGGCCGAGGCAGGCCTTCCGGGCGTGTGTGGTCGGCGCTCAGCCTGGCACCGCATCCTGCCCTCCCACCACCCACTGCGTGCGCACCTTCTGGAAATCCTTCTTGGAGATGAGACCCCGGGGGTCGGTGACGTAGTCCTGGAAGGCATCAGAGCCAATGATGTCCTTGAGCTTCAGGAACATGTCGAAGAACTTGAGGATCATCTCCACGTTGGACGAGGACTCCACTAGCATGTCCACCATCTGCCGCGCGATCATGCCGTTCACCACGTTCCCTGGGGGGCAGCCCCTGCTTAGTGGGCGCCGAGGTGCCTCCTTTCTGCAGCCCACCAGGCTTGCCCACCCTGCCCCCAGCTCGGAAGCCAGGCATGGCTCCTCAGGACCCCAAGCTCCACCCCTAAGCTGATAGAAGCCATTCCTTAAAAGGTGCTGGCGGTGAGATGGTGGCAAAGTGGGACACCTCCGCCCCTCCAAATGGGGCTTGGCCTGATATTTGTTAGCCATGTGGATCAATGAGGAGTGGGTATCATGCATTTTGCAAATAAATAAATAAATATGATTGCTCTGTGGAGTCAATAAGTTAATTTATGGTCCGCCAGGGCCCGGCACCTAGTCAGTGCTCAATAAATGTTTATCAAGCTGGATTTCGACACTTTCTTCATCAATCCCTTGACCCTGAATGCTGCCCAAAGGGTGGCTGAGGGTTAGTCTCCTGGGTGTCAGCAGGTTATCCTCGGACTTGTCGGCCCGTGGGACCCTCCTTCGTGCCCGCGTGCTGGCTGGTTACCTTCCAGAAGGGACAGTAGCATCACCACCATGTCTTTCTGAAGATCCAGCAGCTCCTTCAGCAGGCCAATCTGACTCGAATCCTGGAGACCCCAGACCCCAGGGATGTCAAAGGCTGGCCTCTCCAGAGAGGCCTCCCCCACCCCAGCTGCTCCTGCCCCTCCTCACCCGCCCAGCAGGGCATGAGACCTCTTCCCTCCCGCCCCACCCCTCTTACCTTCCGAAGGGAACCGAGTCCAGACATGGTCCTCGGAAGCAGGGCAGGGGCAGAGATACAAGATTGGGGGTGGGATTGCGCTTTGGGGGAAGCTGGCCTAATGGGTGGTGTGTGGCAGCAAGGGGTCGGCCCGGGATGAGGATGGGAGAGGCATGGGGGCTCCAGGAGCAGATACTTGGGGCAGCGAGAGCCAGAGCGAGACACATCTCTGGGACAGAGACCACACTGGGAATGGGTGAGAGGGAGCTGAGTACTGCCTCTGGTGGCAGTGTTCACGGAATGAATGCGCCCGATGCGAAGTGTGGGACCCCTGGTGTAGGAGGAAGCCAGGGGAGTCACGTGTTCTCTGGTGAGGCAGTGGGGGAAACCGGGATGCCCAGTGCTGCCCGCCCCCTTGCCCTGGCGCCTCATGTAGGGTCCCTCGATGTCTCCAACATAGCTGAACTGCTGCCTCACGGCCCCCTAATCATATTAGGCTGATCCACCTAAACTTGCCCATGCTCAGCCTTTTTTTTTTTTTCAACGACCAAACGATCATGTCATAGGATGTCACCTAGCAAAATGGGGTCTAACGTTTCTTTTTCAAACGCTGGCCCTGGGAGTGCCCGGTGCCTGGTTTTCATCCTAACACCCTTCCACAGCTTCACAGCTCTGCAACCTAGAACTCCACCATGCCAACCTCTCAAGACGCTAAGATGGGTGAGTGCCCATAATCCGGTCTCCCCTTCTCTTAACAACCCCTCGGGGCTCAAAGGGGGCACCCCATGCCCCTCTTCCAGGAGATGAGGCTCCTCCCCCAGCCCCATCCTCCTGGCTGTAGGGATAAGTGAGTCAAGGCCGGACAACCAGACTCCTCCTCTGGCTACAGCGACTGGTTCTGACCAGAGCTTCTCCTGCCCTGGAGGTGCTGAGGCAGGCGAATGGATGTCTATGATGTGGGCGCTGGGTGGGAACTGTCTTCCTAGGACCAGGGAGGCGGTGGGAGGAGAAAGCATCCTCCATCCGCACAGGCTAGAGGGAGGAAGACGCATCTTTGCTGTGTGACCCGAGCAATCCCTGTCCCCACCCCAACAACTGGAAGCCACCACTTGGCGTGGCTTTTCTGGCCCTGGCGACGTTCACCCCACAGGATTCCCAGGTCGACACGGCAAGACCCGCGCATTCTCGAGCTCTTAGATGTCTTTCATCAACAGCAGAAGCATCGAGGCGCTGCCGTCGCCGCTCGGCTCCTCTCCAAACGTTAAGATACGTTAAGATGACCCCCGATAGGGTTTCCGCCAAACCCCGCGATAACCTTTAGGTTCCAAAAAAAAAAGAAGCGCCTCTTCTTGCAAACGACGTCCGGCGGAGTTGGCAGTATACCAGCACGCTGCTGCCCTCTGCTGGGACGCGAGCGGCCCCGTGGCGTAGCGGGGACGCAGGGAGTTGCTACCCGGGCTGTGAGCCGGCAAGGTCACCAGTTCGAAACCCGCGAGCTGGTCTGCGGAAGACCCATGAAGCTACAATCTCTGAAACCCACAAGGACAACTATGCGCTGCCCTAGTGACTCGCGACGCGTCAGGGCCGACTCAACGGCAGTGAATGAGTCAAATAGGGATCCCTCTAGTCCCCCCCCTCCACTCCCCACTCTGTTAAGATTGCTGACTGCAGGGGTGGTGGCAAGGACCCACCCATAGGCAAAACCCAAGGGGAAAGTTCTACCCCGTTAGATGGAGTGACTGTGAGTCAAACATCGACCTCCGGGCCCCTAACAACAAAATAATCCACGGTGTCCTCTCCCACGTGGACGCTGCCCAACCAGATATGGCGGCTTGGAATACTTGGACCGATCTGGGGAGACAGACGTAGAACACGGGGACGAGGTGCGTGTGAAACATTGACAAAGCTCCTGGGGGAAGCGGTAGCATAGAAGGGAGCACCAAGTCCCAAGAGATGGGTAGGGTGCTCAACCAGGACCCTACTTCCTGGGTGCTTGGGATGGGTGTCATCTGCCGAGAGTGGAACAAAGATCGAACCTATAAGCCTGACCCATGGCAGCCCCAGGGCTGCCTGAATCTTAGAGATCCCACCAGATGGAAAAGAACACCAGCCAATCATCATCTTGAGACCAGAGGCAATGAGGGCGGGGCCCAATGATTAGACCAATAGAAGGATAAATGGGAAACCAGCTGATTGGTGGTGGTCATGCCCCAGAGCCAATCCAGAGAGACTATGGATTTGACCTTGGGGAGGGAACCAATCTGGAAGCTGCCAGGAGCACGTGGGTGGAAACTGACCAATGAGGCAAGACTTGACACCCGCCCAAGCGAGGGAGGCCCAGAAGCAGGTGGATGAAGAACAGGGGACCCCGAACCTGAGCAAGCTTCATCATCAGGTGGGCAAACACGTGCAGGAATCCCACTACGGCGTCCCAGAGGCGGCTATGTGCGAGGCTCTGCTGGTTCCCGGTACAGGGGCCCTGGGGGTGGGGGAGGG